GACCTGAAACTAATAAAACATTGTAAGTCAACAGAGAGAGAGTCAATTCCTAGGCAGGCTGAAGTCCCGGGTCCCTGAGGAGATGAGAGGGTCTGGGGCTCTCAAGGAGGAGGAAAGGACAAGCATCTTTTTTTTTCTCTGCATTCCTTAGTCTTAGTCACATAAAACATTTTTTCCTTTAAGCCGGGACCTGATGATTACACAACAAACAACTCAGTTAAACACTGCACTAAGGATTATATAGCAACAATGTATCCTCTTGAGGACAGCTTCTCTTTTCTGAAAACCTTCTGGCTAATCCTGTTATCTTAAAATGTAAATTATGGGAGTGGGTCTGGTAAATTTTTCACAAACTTGAGACATTCTTTTGATTTATTGTAACAATTAATTAAAAAGTATAACTCGCTTGCTAACACTAGCGAGGGGGGCACTCTCTGTCCCCCTTCTGATGTCTGTCAGAAGTTTTCTCTGTCCCTCCTCACACTTTAATAAAACTCTGCTCCACAAAAGCTCTTGAGTGATCAAACCTGGTCCCTAGTCCCTAAGCTAAATCTTCTTCGGAGATCACGAATCCAACATCGTTCACCGTAAGCTATCATCAACTACGTGGTGCGTGCTCAGTTGTGTCCGAACTCTGCAACCCCATAGACTGTAGCCTGCCAGGACCCTCTATAGAATTCTCCAGGCAACAATACTGGAATGAGTTGCCAGTCCCTCCTCCAAGGGATCTTCCTGATCCAGAGATCAAACCCACGTCTCCTGCATTGGTAGGTGGATTCTTTAGCACTGCTCCACCTGGGAAGCCCATAAGTCAGCTATATTAAAAAAAAAAAAAAAAAAAGGAAAGTGGCTGTATTTCTGGTGTATTGCATCCTTACGGTGATCCATCCCACATGACCTTGAGAAGTCACCTATTATTCCTCAGGGACTCACATACCCCAGGCTGAAGATGGTTAGCCTAGTACAGAGAAAGTCCCACGTAAGGTCTGCCAACCTACTCCCTAAAGGTAGGTGTGCAAAGCACCTCTCCTAGGACCCCCTGACAAGCTTTCTCCACCAGGGCTGGTATGAACAGGTGGGCTGGTATGAATAGGTGGATTGGCTGCCAGACCCTATCTGTTGAGTTTAATCAGTTCTCCTGCTTTCTCTGAGGACACTGGCTGACTCAGGCATGCAGTTGGCCAAGTCCAGCGTGTTCCCTGGGGTGCCACTGTAAGAGATGGAGGAGCAGCTCCGTGGCCCCCGGGGGCCTCCGTGAAGAGAGAAGGAGGTTGGAACTGTGAAAGTCACAGAACCTGGTTCACTCCCTCTCTTCCTAGCTGAGTGGCTCTGGATACGGGACATCCCTTCTCTGGGCCTCCATTTCCCTATCTGTAAACGGGATGACAGTGGTCCTTCTTGAAGCTGTCTGGGTACCAGTGAGCTGATGCAGATACAGCCCTTACTGCTGCAGACAGTAAGAGGTCAAGAAGACCTTTTGCTGTGACTGTCGCCTCTTTTTGACCCTCTCAACAAACCCGTGCAGCTCACAAGTCAGTTCAGTTCAGTTCAGTCGCATCCGACTCTGCGACCCCATGGACTGCAGCACAACAGGCTTCTCTGTCCATCACCATCTCCCGGAGCTTGCTCAGACTCTTGTCCATGGAATTGGTGATGCCATTCAACCATTCATCCTCTGTCATTCCCTTCTCCTCCTGCCTTCAATCTTTCCCAGCATCAGGGTCTTCTCCAATGAGTCAGTTCTTCGCATCAGGTGGCCGAAGTATTGGAGTTTCAGCTTCAACATCAGTCCTTCCAATGTGTGTTCAGAACTGATTTCCTTTAGAATGGACTGGTTGGATCTCCTTGCAGTCCAAGGGACTCTCAAGAGTCTTCTCTGACACCATGGTTCAAATTCTTTGGCATCCATTCTTTGGCACTCAGCTTTTTTTATAGTCCAACTCTCACATCCATACATGACTACTGGAAAAAGAATAGCTTTGACTAGATGGACCTTTGTTGGCCAAGTGCTGTCTCTGCTTTTTAATATGCTGTCTAGGTTGGTCATGGCTTTTCTTCCAAGGAGCAAGCGTCTTTTAATTTCATGGATGCAGCCACCATCTGCGGTGATTTCGGAGCCCAAGAAAATAAAGTCTGTCACTGTTTCCATTGTTTCCCCATCTATTTGCCATGAAGTGATGGGAGTGGATGCCACGATCTTAGTTTTCTGAATGTTGAGCTTTAAGCCAACTTTTTCACTCTCCTCTTTCACTTTCATCATGAGGCTTTTTAGTTCTTCACTTTCTGTCATAAGGGTGGTGTCATCTGCATATCTGAGGTTATTAATATTTCTCCCAGCAATCTTGATTCCAGCTGTGCTTCATCCAGCCCAGCGTTTCTCATGATGTACTCTGCATATAAGTTAAATAAGCAGGGTGACAATATATAGCCTTGATATACTCCTTTTCCTATTTGGAACCAGTCTGTTGTTCCACGTCCAGTTCTAACTGTTGCTTCCTGACCTGCAAACAGATTTTTCAAGAGGCAGGTCGGGTGGTCTGGTATTCCCATCTCTTTCAGAATTTTCCAGAGTTTATTATTACCCCCCACCAAAACAGAGGCCTTCCCCTTCCAGTCTCTGCCTAGCTCTCCATTCTCACCACCTTCCACCACGTGACATACTTTCTGTTCCCCAAACTGCACATCCTGCATATTCTAGTCTCTGCATAGCACACTCTGAAGAAGGAATTCATAAGGCCTTGACTCCATCTGAGGCCTGTCCGTGCTGATCGTGCTCGGCCACCTCTCCGTGGGCTCTGAACTCTCTGCTTAGTGCCTGTGGGAATGACAATGGAAGGATAAGACCCCCTCTGGACAGGGGAACCTTAAAGATATCCAGGTTACTCATCACCTAAGAGAAAACAGACACTAATCACCCCTGCCTCCAGACAGTATCTATCAGAATGTAACCACAGGCTTATCGGTTATTAACTGGTTGGAATGTAACCGCGGGCTTATTGATTATTAACTGTTTGAACACATAACACGTGAATGATGGTGTTATTTTGATTGTATTTACCCTTCCTTTGTAAGCCTCAAGGGATTTGGGGTGGTGGGTTTGGACACGTACACATGGGGTATAAAAGATTTTCACAAATGCTGGTCGGGGTCCTTGTGAAAGAGGAGACTCTGCCTTGGGCCCGCTGGTGTAATAAACTGCACTCCACTATCTGCATTGTCCTTCTGAGTGAGTTTGTTTCCCGGAAAGCGTGGCTATAACACTCTACTCCTCACTTTCACTTGGTCAACTCTTTCAAGTCTAGACAAATGCCTTCCCTTCTCCATGGCCCCTGAGCTTCAAAGAGTTCAGTATGGACCCTCATCCACTGACTGCCTCCCCCAGAGGTCCCCCAGAGGGTAGGGGCAGCCCCCTCTATTCCTTGCTGTCTCCCAGCATCCAGCAAGGAGCTGGCCTTGTAGCAGCTCAATGGAAGAATGCACACGGTTTGACTGCACACGTCTGCCTTGCTGTAGCCCCAGGGCTACAGTCCAGAGCGCTCAGCAACTGTTTCAGGAAGGCAGGTGGGTGGGGAGACTTGACAAACGCTCCAGGGGAAGTGAAAGGAGGGGTGACCAAGCAAAGTGTGAAAGATCTGGGAAGAAAACAGAAACAGTAGAAGTTAGGCCTGAGTTTTGTCAGGCAAGTGTACACTCCTCGGTTTTTGTCTCGTCACAACAAAGATTTGGAGTGATGGACATTAAAGCCCTCTAGGCGGTCACAGCTCTCCGGTCTTGGACAGACCATGTTATATAGCTCTCAGGTCTCGAACGGACCATGTTATAGCTCTTAGAAAAGTCAGTGTTACAGCTCCGTGTTACAGCTCTATTTTCTTTAGAAGATAGCAGGAATATACATCTTCCAGGCATGAGGGCACGTCGATCCAAAGATGCGAAGAGAAGAGCGCCCCATCACGTGGGGGCGGGGGTGAAGGGGGAAGAGAGAGAGAGAGAGAGAGCGAGCGAGCGAGCGAGTTTGGCTCCTCTCTTTATATGTTTCTCTCTCCCTGGGCCTGTCCTATGTAAACTGGGCCAGCCAGGAGTGCTGTCTATTTTACCTGAGGTCCTCACTCCGGTCCTCAGACCTTCCTTTGTTCTATTTTCAAGGGCTTTTCCCCTCCAGGTCTTTTAGCTACCGCCATTTTGGACTCCCTTTCCCTATTCTAACCACCTAACAGTTCGAAACAGAAGCTAACCACTCCAGTATTGTTGCCTGGAAAATCTCACGGACAGAGGAGGCTGGCAGGCTACAGTCCATTGGATCGCAAGAGTTGGACACGACTTAGCAACTAAACCACCACTACCACCAAGCGGGTCCCTAGACAGCTTTTCTAGATGGTTTTTCCAGTAGGCATGTATAGATGTGAGAGTTGGACTATAAAGAAAGCTGAGCTCAAAGAATTGGTGCTTTTAAACTGTGGTGTTAGAAGGCTCTTGAGAATCCGTTGGTCTGCAAGGAGATCCAACCAGTCCACCCTAAGGGAGATCAGTCCTGAATATTCATTGGAAGGACTGATGCTGAAGCTGAAACTCCAATACTTTGGTTACCTGGTGCGAAGAACTGACTCATTGGAAAAGACCCTGATGCTGGGAAAGATTGAAGGTGGGAGGAGAAGGGGACGACAGAAGATGAGATGGTTGGATAGCATCACCGACTGGATGGGCATGAGTTTGGGTAAACTCCGGGAGTTGGTGATGGACAGGGAGGCCTGGCGTGCTGCAGTTCATGGGGTCGCAAAGAATCGCACAAAACTGAGCGACTCAACTGGACCGAGCTGAGATGACTTTCGTGCCACTCACAAAGATGGCGGCATAGAGCCACGCCCCTCGCCAACGAGGCCGTCCTATGGGGTGGGCGGACCTGGAGGGCAGAAGTGACGCTACCGGAAGACCGTCCCACCGCTCAGCCGCCTAGGGGACCCAGGCCGCTGCGAAGGCGGTTGCGGCGGGCGGCTACGTGGGCTATGCGCCTGTATCCGCGGCTTGGGGGCGCCGCGGCGCTCCGGCTGCTGCTGGCTGCCCACGTGGTGGCGGCATTCGAGCCTATCACTGTGGGCATCGCCATCGGGGCCGCGTCGGCGCTCACCGGCTACCTGTCTTACAAGGACCTGTACTGCCGCTTCGCCGAGTGCTGCCGCAGCGAGCGGCCGCTCAATGCGTCGGGTACGGCGGGGCCACCCTGGAGGGGCTCGCGGGGCGCGGGAGACAGGTCCCCCCGCGGGCGTCAGCGCCCCGGCATCCCGCGCTCACCCTTCGATGGGGTAGGAGGGAGGAGAGGTGGAGTTTCGGTCTCGGCTGCAGCCTCGGAAGCCGTGTCTTCGGAGAGATCCTCCGGATTCCGGGGGGTCTGCCCAACTTCCTCCCTAAAAGTTTGCATTCCTTGGGAGGACAATAAGAAGAAACTGAAAGCAGCCGCCCTGCTGCGCCGTGTCGACCCTGACGTGCAGCGTCCGCCCCGAAAGCCATCTGGCCCTCGGTTTTCTTCCAAGCCGGTAGGGGTGGCTGGGGGAATAGCAAAGCAGCCCAGTCGAGAGGGCCAGTCCTTGGATGAGCGAACACATTTGGTTAGCTTACTTCTCCAGTCCGTTTCCTTGGAAGTGGCCTCGTGTGACCGCAGCCCCGTGGTTCTGTCTCAGTGCCAGCCCTGGGGTTTGGCAGAGATCCCATGCTGGACCACTTTGCGAACCTGTGCCTCCCACTTTGGCCAGCTGGGACGGGCGCTGCTCTTCTGGTGCGTGTTTAATGTGTATTTTTCTCTCTCGTTCTCGGGCTGGCTCCTGCAGCCCTCAAGCAGGACTTGGAGGAGAAGCTGTTTGGGCAGCATCTGGCCACAGAGGTGATTCTCAAGGCGCTGACCGGCTTCAAGAACAACAAAAATCCCAAGAAACCACTGACTCTCTCGTTACACGGCTGGGCTGGCACAGGCAAGAATTTTGTCAGCCAAATTGTGGCTGAAAATCTTCACCCCAAAGGCCTGAAGAGCAACTTTGTCCACCTGTTTGTGTCGACCCTGCACTTCCCTCATGAGCAGCACATAAAACTGTACCAGGCAAGGAATTGTTACCCCTTCTCCAGCTTCTGCGACTGGTCTGGGTGACCTGCTTCCTGACTCCAGCCTCTGCTGCTTTCTTTGCGCTGCAGTAGCCCCAGGCCCCGCTGGTTTAAGGCACAAGTCCCCCACCCTGGCAACCTTTTGCCATTTGCAGTTCTCCTGCAGCTTCTGCCTCACCAATTCCAAAATAATACAGGGGGGTGTGGGCGTGCTAAGTCTGTCCAACTTTTGCCACCCCATGGACTGTTGCCCATCAGGCTCCTCTGTCCGTGGCATTTTCCAGGCAAGAATACTGGAGTGGGTTGTCATTTCCTTCTCCAGGGAATCTTCCCGATCCAGGGATCGCACCCACATTTCCTGCATTGGCAGGTGGGTTCTATACCACTGAGCCACCAGGGAAGCCCAATACAGCGGGGTGATGTTCCATTAAAAGATGGAGCCAAGAGCAGGAAGGCGACTCGCCCCCTACAGTCTTTGTGACCTTATGGCAAATGAGAAACTGGAACCCGAATCTCCTGTCTTCCAGTCTGCAGGGTAGCCGTGCTGTGCAGTGAGTATGCGCAACATCCCCGTCACAGTCCTTGGTTAAGTGAAACAGATTCAAATGGCTTTATTTAAGGCTCCCTTGGGAGTTCCTTGGTGGTCTCCTGGTTAGTACTCCATGCTTTCACTGCTGAGGGCACAGGTTCAATCCCTGGTCAGGGAACTAAGATCCCTCAAGCACAGCCAAAAATGAAAAAATAAGATTCCTGCCTATGATGTAGCTTCAGCGTGGCCTCTGCATGTAAGCAGTGAGAACCAGAAAAATTTTTTTTCTCCTCAGTAATGGTTTTTCCCATTGTTCCTCCTGTTCTTCACATTCTTGGCATTGTATTGTTAACTTGTCCAGTCGGGCTCTTGTTTAAATGGACATCCTTGTAAAAGTTAGTGTTCCTACTTAGTGTTAGGTGGGGACTGAAATAAGGAATAGAAACTGAACAAGGAAGTAAAAGTGGATATTTGCCACATAAACAGTAAGACAGGGAAGACAGCCAAAAAGAGAGTGATTTTCTTATTTTCCAAATTCTTTCATAAATGCTTAGAAATACAGGCACAAGTGCTTGTCGTGAAATGTCATCTAGGTCAGCGTCTTTGTTCACTGCGCTTGTAACACCATTATAAGGCACTGGTGTTGGACACGACACCGGGCTTAGTCTAGTTTCTTATTCCTCAGTATGTCTAGTAAAATTGAGATTTCCATCTACAGTGAGATGAAAATTACCGGTTGGTTACCAGTGAAACGATAAATATTCACATATCTTATACTTTTAAAGAGTTGCATCGTGTACCTGATTTGAGTTAGGAAAACACTTATTTGCCTTTTAGCACGCATCTCTGCTGGTTTCCATTCCCCCCCCCACTTTTTTTTTTCTTTTATTATTCTTTGAAATTTATTTATTTTAATTGGAGGCTAATTACTTTACAATATTGTAGTGGTTTTTACCATACATTGACATGAATCAGCCATGTTCCCCCCCACTTTTTATACAAGAATTTTCGGAAAAGTAGCTACCCCGTGAGCGGAGGCTGGGATGTGGCTTTTGTTGTTCAACCCCAGAGAGCTCTGGTTTTTCACCCTCCTGAGTATGAAGAACAGCATAGCACTTCTCCCCTGGGCACACCCTTTGAGTCCCCGTGTCCCATTTCTTCTTTTATGGTTGGTTTAGGACCAGTTACAGAGGTGGATCCGGGGTAACGTGAGTGCATGTGCGGGCTCCGTGTTCATATTTGACGAGATGGATAAGTTGCACCCGGGAGTCATTGACGCAATCAAGCCGTTCCTAGATTACTACGAGCAGATTGATGGCGTGTCTTACCGGAAGGCCATCTTCATCTTTCTCAGGTCAGTGGGAGGCGTTTCTTGAGTGGGGATGTACAGAGCCCTTCATTTTCCCAGGGCTAGAGTGAGGTTCCGGGGACAAACGTGCCAGCCTGGCAGAAGTATCTTGCAGACTTTTTCCGGGTTGCTGATGTCAGCATGGCACTGGGCAGAGGCAGGAGGAAACGAATGAAGGAAATTGTTGCTGATAATAGGCAATTTTGCTACCTACACATGTCACCTCTGGGGTTTATAAAAAGTCGTAGCGTTACACACCAAGTTTTTTTTTATTCCCTCTCCCTGAGAAAACGGATTTTCAGCTCCTGAGGGCAGATGTTTTTTTTTTTTTTTGTATACCAGTATATAGTAAATACTCCTTGATTAAAACTGAACTTTAGAGAACTATCACAATCTGATTCCATCTTAGAAAACTTACAGTGTTTCCTGATAATAAGTGACATCATTAGGAAGTCATTACAACCCTTTAGTACATCTAGACTAGTTTATATATTTAACTTTAAAATAAGCTGCATAGAAACGAAAAGGAAAAAAAAAGAGTAAACTTAGAGCAGGTACATTTCCTGATTAGACAGTCTTTTTCTTAAAATTAGTTTTTATTGGAGTCTAGTAGTTTCTGTGGTAGTTTGTTGTTCAGTCGCTCAGGCATGTGACCTCTGTGACCTCAAGAACTGTGCCATGCCAGGCCTCCCTGTCTTTCACCATCTCCTGGAGTTGGCTCAAACTCATGTCCATTGAGTCGGTGATGCCATCCAACCATCTCATCCTCTATTGCCCCTTTTCCTCCTGCCCTCAATCTTTCCCAGCATCAGGGTCTTTTCCAGTGAGTTGCCTTTTTGCACCAAGTGGCCAAAATATTGGAGTTTCAGCTTTAGTATCAGTCCTTCCAATGAATATTCAGCACTGATTTCCTTGAGGATTGACTGGTTTGATCTCCTTGCAGTCCAAGGGACTCTCAAGCACCTTCTCCAACACCACAGTTCAAAAGCATCAATTCTTCAGCACTCAGCCTTCTTTATGGTCCGACTCACATCCACATGTGACTACTGGAAAAACCATAGTTTGGACTAGATGGACCTTTGTTGGCAAAGTACTGTCTCTGCTTTTTAATATGCTGTCTAGTTGGTCATAGCTTCTCTTCCAAGGAGCAAGCGTCTTTTAATTTCTTGGCTGCAGTCACCATCTGCAGTGATTTTGGAGCCCAAGAAAATAAAGTCTGTCACTGTTTCCATTGTTTCTCCATCTATTTGCCATGAAGTGATGGGACCGAATGCCATGATCTTGTTTTTTTTAATGTTAAATTTTAAGCCAGGTTTTTCGCTCTCCTCTTTCACTTTCATCGAGAGATTCTTTAGTTCTTCGCTTTCTGCCATAAGTGTGGGTGGTTTCATCTGCATATCTGAGGTTATAGCAAAGTGTTATATACATATATATACTCTTTTTCAGATATTTTTTCCCATCTAGGTCACCACAGAGTATTGAGTGGAGTTCTCTATGCTATACAGTAGGTTCTCACTAGTTATCTTTTATATATAGTAGTGTGCATGTGTCATAGAGAAGTCAGTGTGTGATTTTAATCTGGCTTCTTTGGCAAACTCAGCAACGCAGGTGGGGACCTCATAACTAAGACGGCCCTTGACTTCTGGCGGGCTGGGAGAAAGAGAGAGGACATCCAGCTGAAGGACCTGGAGGCCGTGCTGTCTGTCGGAGTCTTCAATAACAAACACAGTGAGTCTCCCCAAGTGGGTGCCCTGCGCCCTGCCCACAGCATCACCGTTCTCTCTTTTTACTTTTGACCCTGTGGCTTGTGGGATCTTAGTTCCCCAATAAGGGATCGAACCCGTGCCCTCTGCAGTGGAAGCTCAGGTCCTAACCACCAGACCGCCAGGGAAGTCCCAACCATCTCTCTCTTTAAGCCTTTCACAAGACCACAGAATCTGCTTGCGTCTGTAGCTTGGCTGAAATAGGGACTTTCTTTTTTGGAGGGCATGCTATTCTAGAAGCCAGTTAGAGGGGGTAGCCAACCAACCGTTACATCAGGCTTGACCAAAAGAGAGTCGTGAGGGCCGCAGACGTGGGGAGTGTGCTGGGGTGGGGATCAGGACAGGCCCTGCAGGAGCCGCACGCTGGCGGGCTGACAAGGACAGAAGTGGCAGGAAACCCAGCCGTGCCCTGTTTCCCAGGTGGCCTGTGGCACAGCGGCCTGATAGACCGGAACCTCATCGACTACTTCATCCCCTTCCTGCCCCTGGAGTACAGACACGTGAAGATGTGCGTGCGGGCGGAGATGAAGGCCCGCGGTTCCGCCATCGACGAAGACATCGTCACTCAAGTGGCAGAGGAGATGACCTTCTTCCCGAAGGACGAGAAGATCTACTCAGACAAGGGCTGCAAGACTGTGCAGTCACGGCTGGATTTCTACTGAGCTCTTGTGCAGGCAGGCTGAGACGTGACTGGACGCCCAGCAGACCTGGGGCCCAGCCCGAACAAGCACTTTAAGACCTCTTCGGGGTACACATTTGCACCTGTGAACTCGTGGGATCCGGAAGGTTCTAAGGGTTGGTTTGTGAAATCACGCTCTGGTGTCAAGTGAACTTGTGTTGCAACATGATGGCAGCCCAGCTGTTCCTCACAGTTAGAAATGAACTTTTGAAATCTCCCCCCTCCCCACACACACACTTAACTGCCCTTGACAGAAGTGCCTTGAAAACAGAGGCCGAGGACTCTTTCTGACCCAACGGTACCCCCACCACAGAAGCTGAACTGAAGTTCAAGGGCTAATGCAAGCCAGGGAGCGTTGGTTTTCACCTGCCAGAAACACTCTTCAGCTGAAGTTCTTTTACAGAACACGTTCACCAAGAGGAAGTATTTTCAGGTAACACTGGTGGCACCTTCAGGCACAGATTGCCCCGTGGGAGAACCCAGGTCTGAAGGCCGAGCACACGGCTGGGTGAACCGTCTGCTTGTGGGGTGGGGGTTCCATGCCAGGCCCCTGCGGCCCCGCAGAACAGGCAGGACCTCTGCTTCTGTCCGTGGCTTTGCTGCTGTTTACAACCCTCGTCATGGATTCCAGCTCCAACTCTCACTTGGTGTTGACCGCAGCCTTCCTGGTACTACTGCTCCTCCTGAATTTCAGCCACGGCTCTGGGTCTCACCAGCCATCTCATCTCTAGAGATGGATCAGAATGCAGCCGTTGGCTTTGAGTTTGAGTCCTTGGTTCCCACGGTGGAATGTTTGTCTGTTACAGTTTACATGTGGGTCAGCTTTTCACTTGACTCCACAGAACCATTTGAAATCTGCAAAACCCCATCTTTCTCCACAGATGACACGTGCCAACTGAACTTTCAGCTTGCAGGTTCTGCATTGCCAAATAGGAAGTATTGTACACTAGAAATGCTTGAGTTTTCGAGGATGTGGCTATTTTTAATAATGTTTTTACTTGGGAATCTTAGATAATGGAGATACAAAACGTTGCTTATTTTAAAACCTGGGAAGGGATAATTGCCTGTTCCTTTATCAGATGCTCTTAAAACAGATGATTGTGGCTGGTCCTGGGTGTGTCATCTAAGAATGATGTCCTTTATGGTGGTGCCAGGCTGCACTGCCCTGGCCTTGGGGAAATAAGACTTTGATTCCAGCCAGTGTGAATCACTCTATCTTGTGGTTGCAGTGCAACTGAAGACACGTAATGAGAACATGCAGCTTTTTTATATTTATAAGATGTGGCAGAAGGGACGGTCCTTCAGCATGGCAGTGCCTTATAGAGGATCACACTCACTCTTTAAAAAATGCCAAGGTGAGGCTTGAAACTTTTAGTACATGTCCTCAAGTTGGACCCAAGTTAAATTTCTTTTATAACCTTTTGGGTGTCTGGTCAGGAGGAGATAGGATTTCTTGTTTACAATGATGCAATAAACTGGCTACCTTTGGACTGCTGTTACTGACTTGTAACTTGAAAAGGCCACAGATGCCCACGGCCTAGCCTCTTCACCCCGCATAAGACGTAGACGAGCTTGGGCTGACCTGCTAAGTCACTTCAGTCATGTCCGACTCTGTGTGACCCCATAGATGGCAGCCCACCAGGCTCCACCGTCCCTGGGATTCTCCAGGCAAGAACACGGGAGTGGGTTGCCGTTTTGAATGTCAAACAATGAAGCTTAAATTTTATCATGAGACGCCACTTGCAGATTTTTTTTTCTGGTTTATTTGGGAGCTCTGAAAAGTTTGAGCTGAGAAGGCTCTATTAACTCGGGTGAATTAGGCTTACTGGACACGCTGGTTGGCTGTCTTCATGTCATACAGAATCGTTTACCTTAAAGGTTGTTCAGTACAAAGTTAAGTTGGATTAGATGATGAGTCACAGCCCAGCTAATTTTCGTGGATGTAAGTACCATCAGGAAGAGCTGGCCTTGCTTTATTTTTTGGCTGCACCCCCACGGCATGTGGCACCTTAGTTTCCCCACCGGGGGTCAAAGCCACACCCCCTGCACCGGAAGGCAGAGTCTTAATCACTGGACCACTGGGGAAGTCCCAGGCTGGTTTTCTTTCTAACAGATATGTTCTAAAATTAATGCAGGCAGGAAAGCGAGGCACTAAAATGTGATTCACGGCTGCCATTCTGCACCTAAAGCGTGGCTGAGCTGAGACCAGGAAACCTTGCCTGGTCTTCCAGTCCAGAACCTGGAAATAACAAAATCCTTGTTATATTAACCAGATCTCAGCTTAATCCCTCAATCTGGGCTCTTCGGTGAGTGATTTGTTCACACTGGCCCTTCCCAGGACTGAGGATGAAGCCCTTTCTAGAAAGTTGAGAACTTCTTCACCATCAGGTCACCCACTCCCATTTCCTGGTTCCTCATCCCGTGAGCCTGCCCTTCCATCTGGGTCCCAGGCTACTGCCGCTTCCACTTCCCCCCACGCAGCCTCATCTGGAAGACTGAACTTTCTAGGTGAGTCAGGGGATCCCAGTGTCCTCTAGTAGGGACTCCCAGGGCCTGGGGACTTGCTCAGATGAATGATAGCCCCAACCCGTGACTCCTGGGGACACGACAGCAGGCCAGCTTCAGGGCAACGTCAAGAGCTTTCCAGTGCTCAGGGCTGCCTTAGGGGGCCTGAGCAGCCTTAAGGAGTTCCTGAACTGGGTGCATAGCCCTGAGGCAGGGGGGTTCCCCCGTCTTCTGTGCCTGCTGAAGACCACCCCTGTGAGCACTGCAGACACTCACACCCACAGGAGCCCTTGTAGGCACGTGTGTTGCACAATACAAGGTATTTAGGGGCCTACACCGCTCTGCTGCTGCCTGGCTTCTCAGTGGGGGCTAGGTCTCCAGACTTGAATGAACTTCACAGCTGGGAGTTGGGAGCTCTGTGAACGCGAGGCACCGTGACACCCCAGGGCACTGAGCAGGGCCGGAGCCACCGAGATCCTCAGCTGTGTCACACTCCTCCCCATTTCGGCCTGGGATGCTCTGTTAGGTCTCACTTCACAGCTCAAGCACAGAAGGTAGGGCCTGGAGGTGTCTGTTTTTTCACTTTAAAAAAAATTATTCACCAATCATACCATTTTGTTGTAAAGTGGCAGCATTTGCATTTAACAAATAGAAACACTGCTCAGCATCATGGGGGCAGCTAAGGTTTGGGGAGTTCTGATTAAACATGATGAAAATGAGTAAAAAAATATGAAAAACCATATTTTATGAAAATTTGGCAAAACCTGCCACTGAGTGCATGACTCATTCAGGAATGGAGAGCAGAGAGGGGCCTTTGCAAAGCTGACTGACACACAAGCCACAGGCTTGCAGACACTTTTCTTTCCAGGAAATTCTGTTTCTAACAAATTGTTCACAGTGTTACTAAGATCATTCACAGTGTTACAGTTCACAGTGTCACTGTGATGAACACTCTTGGGAAGGACACTTGTGCCTTCTCTGTGACGGGCCTGAGTGTGTCTTCTATCTAAAGGCTCATCGCCCTTGCGATGGTCATCCCATGACAGGTCTGCTCGCCGCTCTAGCCTCGGTCCCCAGTCACACCATCCTACAGAGGACAGACTGAGGGCAGAAGGCTTGGGCATTTATGCAGTAGTGACATCACGGCATATGTTGTAATGATAGGAGATTACTAAAAAACACACACAAGTCAACAACTTAAGAGTCTGAAAAGTTTCTCATAATGTTAAAAACCATTTTAAATAAAAATTATCACATCTTCCAGTAAAACTGATTCATCCTTCCTTGAAACAGAAACACTTAAAATTAAAACGTGATTTTAAAAAAAAAAATCATGAGCCCTGGCTTGGTTGGGCACTGGCTCCTCCCCTCCTCTGCAGGCCCCGGGGGCTGTTCCCCATCTGCATCTGTCACTGACAGCCTGAAGGTTCTGCTGGATGAAAAAATAATGCCCGGGGAAGTGCCTGTCCTGTCACACAGGAAGAATTCATTTTGCTCCTCTTCCAGGACTGGAGCGGGGATGCGGGAAGCTTCTCTGGAGCCATCAGTCATCGTAGTAGTAATCTAACTTAGTGAACACGGTTTTGCAGCCTTTGTCGGAGAAAACTCTCTCCTCTTTGGGGAAAAATGTCATTTCCTCGGCCACCCTGCTCACAATGTCCTCGTCCACCTTGTAGCCTCGGGACTGCATTTCGACTCTGATGCACATCTTCAGGTGTTTATATTCCAGCGGGAGGAAGGGAACGAAATAGTCAATGAGGTTTCGGTCAATTAAGCTGCTGTGCCAGAAGCCACCTGGGAAAAAGAAAAAGGTGCGGTTCCTCCCCTGTCCGTCCGTCCGTCTGCCCGGCCACCACGAGGTGGAGCCCCGTGCCTGCCCTCAGGGCAGCTCGGGTCTAAGGAACCAGTGAGCCTGCCCAGCTCGACAGTGGGGGTGAGACTGCTGGGGTGATGCTCCTACGACAGCGGATGACAGGTTGGCGCCACGGTGGGCGGGGAGGCCTCTCAAGACGTGAGCTCAAGACCTCAAGTGGGAAGGAGGCTTACCGGCTGTCCCAGGACAGACAAGCCGTGCAGGCGAGGGACCAGAGACTCACAGGTTGGCAGGTTCCCAGGGAAAGACCAGCCTCTTGGAAATTTGCGACTGGCTGGGGTTCCTGTGGCTGGATTAGCGACAGGGTGGACGCTCACTGCTGCCGCCACCGTGTCCAAACCCTCCAGAGTGTTTGGGGAACCAAAAGAGCCCCCGTCCTGGTAGGTAATGTGTGAGGACAGTGCTGTTCCAGCAGCCGCCCGCGGTCATGGGGCCTCCCAGATCCCCAGCCTCTGGACCGTCCCACTCCCTCCTCTGAGGCGAGGCAGCACCCACTGGGTCGCAGCCCGTGGCTCTTCAGAACTGTCTCCCCTCCCGCCTATCTGCTTCCGGCCTGTGCTTTAATCCTGGTCTGGCTCCGCTGCCATGCCCACCTGGGTTCCTCCCCCACGCTACCAAGCGCTTCTCTGACACCACCCGGGGGTCCTACAGTTCACCTCGGTTCTGATGACACCCGGAGACTGCGTCAGGTCCCACAAGACGGCACCCCAGCCCCCGACCGGAAACTGGCTGATCCCTGTGCTTCCGAGGTGCCGACGCCACCCCCCTCCTTGGGTTCAATTACTTTGCAAATGAGCTCATGGAACTCAGAGAAATCTTTTATGACTAGATTACCGGTTTATATAAAAGGATATGACTCAGGAGCAGCCAGCTGGAGGAGATGCAATGGGGCAAGGGACATGGAGCTCCCATGAACTCTGAGCCCACCACTCTCCCCAAATCTCTGCTTCTTCACCAACCTAGAGCTCTATGAACCCTGTTCTTTAGGGTTCTTACAGAAAATTCTTTACATAGGCATGACTGATTAAATCACTGGCCACTGGCGACTGATTCAGCCTTTAGCCGCCCCTCCCCTCCCCAGGGGCCTGAAAGGGTTGGAGACTGAAAGCTCTAACCCTCCAATCCAGGGCGGTTCCCCTGGAAGGCGCCCCCCACCTTAGGTATTCTCCAAAAGTCACCTCACTTAGACTCCGGAGTGGCTGAAAGGGGCTTGTCAGGAACACCAAGACACCTTTATGGCTCTTGCCACTTGGAAACTCCAAGGGCTTTAGGAGCTCTGGGCCAGAAAATGTGGACAAAGGCCAGACACGTGTTTCTTACTGTCAATCACGCATCACAACTGGGGTTTATTCTTATCCTGCCCAATAGGGCTTTGTACACAGCTGGTGCTCGGTAACATCTGACGGCCTGGATGGGGCGGAGTCTGTGGCCGGTGGGAAAGAACCAAACCGAGGGCTGAGTGGTAGGCCGGCAGCGAGTGGGACAGCCCTGGCCAGTCTCCTGAAGGCCTGCCGGACTTGCCTGAGGCTGGGGACGGAGCCCAGCTAGGCAGACGCTGACCTGCCTCCCGGGGTGCACAACGGAGGAGCCACCCAGTTAGCCAGTAAACAAACGATTCCAGGTACTGCCAAGGGCTGTGAATGCTCACTGGGGCCGTCAGGCAAGGAGGGCGGAAGGCTAATCAGCCAGGGAGTCAGGACAACCAGGACCCCCAGAGACCCCTGAAGATCGCTCAGGTGCAGCAAATGACCTTACGTAACACTGACTGATCATTCCCTGGTCTATCCTCAGCCTGACCTCAGCCCAAGTGCACTGGGACTTCAGTGGCCTGCTCCACACCTCTGCTCCCACGCCTCCAACGTGTCATTTCCCCTGCTGCTCCCTGCAAACCTGCTCCTCCTGGAGGCGGTCCCCTGAACGAACAGGGCGGGCAGGGAGGCCCTGCCAAGTGCTCAGGCCAGATCCTCAATTCCTTTCTCATTCCCACACAGTCCTTTAGGAAATCGCACTGTTTCTACCTTCAAAATACATGCCAGGCCGACCGTGACGTCCTACCCCCACGCCGCCAGCATCTCTCCCCCGGGTTGTTGCAGCCGCTCCTTGCTGGCCTTGCCCCCGCCCCCGCTGCCGCCTCAGTCTGTTCTCCACCTGGCAGCCAGGCAGCCCTGTTAAAACTAGGTCTGAACAGGGCAGTCAGCTCAAAACCCTCCAAGGACTCCCTTCTCCACTTGCAGTCAAGCCCTGCTGTGGGTCCCCAGGCCTTCCACGACCTGCAGCCCACCCCAAGCTCCAGCTCTTCTCCTATGTTCCTCTTCGTCCAGGCACACTCCCACCTCAGGGGCCTCGGGTGAGCTGTTCCCTCTGGTGCGATGCCTTTCCCTCTTGTTTCCACATGGCTCCCTCACTCCTCAGGTCAGCTCAGATGTCACCCTCACATGAGCCTTCCCTCACCACTATTTAAAACTGCAGCCCATCCTTGTCCGGCTATTCCTCTGGGGTACAGACCCTCAGAGTTCCAGGATAAGGCAAGAAAGCAAGGGACCTGACGGCCCATCTCCATCAGAGCAGCATCGCCAGCAGCCTTCCTTGTTCCACCACCTGCTTCAACTTAGCTGAAGAAAACAGGAAACAAATTTTCGAGATCTTGAGGATCAACAAAGTTCCTCTTTCTTGAGTGTGAGTAAAAGTCAGCTGGAGTTTGTCTACACAGATTCCCTCAGGAATTCAGACCTCAGTAGGCCTGGGGAAGGGACTGAGAATCGGTCCCAGGTGATGGGGAGGCTGTCAATCTAAAACAGGGATGCAGGATCATGAATGGGGCCAGGGGAGGGGTTTGGTGTTGGGAGCAGATAACTCCATTTACCGTGCTTTCTTTTCTTTCACTGCGCTGCACTGCGTATGGGATCTTAGTTCCCTGACCAGGGTTCGAACCCACGGCCCCTGCATTAAAGTGCAGAATCTTAACCACCGGACCGCCAGAGCAGTGCCCCCACTTACTGTTCTTGTTATTGAAGGCCGACACAGACAAAGCATGTTCCATGTCTTTGAGCTCGATTTCTTCCCTCTGCTTTCCACTTCTCCAGAAATCTAAAGCCACGTCTGTGATCCTTTCTGCTCCAGCATTGCTGCGGGACAATTCCAATGAATAAGGACTGGGGTGTTTCTCCTCGAAGCCTCTAGGGATAGGGCTCAGAGCTCAACCATGTCCCGGCCCCGACTTTACCTGAGAAATATGAAGATGGCTTTCTGATAGGAGACCCCATCCAGGTTGTCGTAATAGTCTAGGTAAGGCTTGATGGCGTCTATGAGGCCAGAGTGCATCTTGTCCATTTCGTCAAATATGAAGATGGACCTCGCACAGGCACTCACGTTGCCGCGAATCCACGACTGTAACTGATCCTGAGTGACAAGGGGGAAGCCAAGACAGATTCTCAGATGTGCGACTGACACAGCCGGGGTGGGGGGACACTATTACACTACAGTTGGGGTCTACAAAGCCTGCATTTACAAGAGCTTACTGTGTGCTTCCCGCTGTGCTGAGAACTTCACGCGCGCTTTTCTGTTCCTCACCACAGCCCCACATAGTGAGCATCATCATGCCCATTTTACAGATGAGAAGACCAAGTCACAAAGAGCATAATCAACTGAGACTCCAAAATTTCCCCAATGTTATAAAATTGGTCTGTAACAGAGGGAAGATTTGAACCACACCCTGCCTGATTCCAAGGCCCCGCACCCTGATTATAATTCTTGTCCTGTGACATGTCACATGGATGCTACGTTGCTAGTCCTCTGTCATCAAAATGAACATGTTAAAACATATCCTGTGGACACCAGCCTTCTTGGGGGAAGGCAAAGACTGAGTAACCTCTTCCCTGAGTAAGTCCTTGGAAAAACCTGGAGAAGGGCTCTAATGTTTCCAGAGGGGTAAAGAGACCTCAAGAGCACTCATGCTCGAGGATGAGTGTGCAGAGGCAACATTCCTGAGTTTCTGAAATAGTGCCTGGAGGCTGCTAGAATAAATCTGCTTAAATGGAACATTCCCTACGAACATTATGTAGGTACTTCTTATATTAAGCAATCAAGATGAGGAGAGAGGACCCTTTTCATCAGAAATTTGAGCTATGGTTTTTCACAATGCTTTCCTAGATGTTTCCCCTACGATAAGGAGAGGGTTTCCCAGGTGGCTCAGTAGGTAAAGAATCCACCTGCAATGCAGGAGACACAGGAGGCCCACCTTGGATCGCTGGGTCAGGAAGATCCCCTGGAGGAGGGCATGGCAATCCACTCCAATAATCTTGCGTGAAGAATTCCATGGACAGAGGAGCCTAGCAGACTACAGTCCATGGGGTTGCAAAGAGTCAGACACAAGTGAAGCAAGTGAGCACACACACAAGATAAAAAGAGTTAGCTGTTAGTTTCTGAGGAAAATTCTGGAAGTTACAATATAGGTCTTGACTTCTTATGATCTGGGGTTTTGCTTGGCTACTCAGACCATGGACACAGTGTTCCATAGGTGTCTATTAACCAAAGCAGTAACTTGGCTCTGTTCGTGCAAAATCACTTCAGTCGTGTCTGACTCTCTGCGGCCCCATGGACTGTAGCCCACCAGGCTCCTCTCTGCCCATGGGATTCTCCGGGCAAGAACACTGGAGTGGGTTGCCATGCCCTCCTCCAGGGGATCTTCCCGACCCAGGGATCGAACCTGTGTCTCTTAACGTCTCCTGCGTTGGCAGGTGCGTTCTTTACCCCTAGCACCACCTGGGACGCCCAACTCTGCTTTGTAGATGTGAACTAACCTCTGTTTACAGAACAAGAACCTCAGGAGAGCTGGGGTGACTTGAACAAGGCCACAGAGTGAGCCAACGTTTATACGAGGACTCCCCCAAGTCTGGCAGACTCCAGCAGCCAAGGCCTTCCATTCTGCTCCCCCCTCTCACAGAAAGCAGCAGAGAGCGTACATGGAGCACTCACTACAGGCAAGACCCTGTTCTAAGCATGGTCCACCTGTTTCATTGTGATCTTCCAAAACCCATCAAGGCAGTTAACCACTGCATTTTCTATTTCACAGACCAGGAAACTGAGGTGCAGGGAGGTTACATAACTTGCTCAGTCACATAGCTATTAAACAGTGAAGATGGAATGCTAACTAGGAAGACCAACTTGTCCCTATCTGTCTGGAACTTTCCCAGTTGTAGCAGCGAAAGCCTCACATCCCAGGAACTCCCGGGCAGTCAGTGACCCTGATGCTGATCCAAGCTGAAGGGAAAAATGTGTTCACACAGGTGAGACCAAAAAAAAAAAAAAAAAGAGGCAATAAGTTACCAATGATTTGAATGGTCATGTGCTGAGCATCATGTTGAGCACATGAGCACATATTCGACAGGTTTAAGAGGTCAAGAAATTCTCAGACTTCCCTGGTGATGCAGTGGTTAAGACTCCCAGCTTCCACTGCAGGGGGTGGCACGGGTTCAAACCTTGGTCAGGGAACCAAGACCCAACATGCTACGTGGCATGGTCAAAAATAAAAAGAAATTCTCACAACTGCCATTTGACAGATGAAGAACCTGAGTCTCAAGAGAGGTCAGGTGACTCTCCCAACATTACATAGCTTATAGGTGGGAGCCTGGGGCTCAAATTCAGGTGTGTCTGCCTCGGGAGCCAGGCTGTTAAATCAGTGAGTTCAAGTGTAAAACCAAACTTAGGCCTCCCTAGAAATGTTTCCCCTTTTATAAAACATGTGAGATCTGAAGAGCTTTAAACTGGATTTGATTATATACGTCTCTAAGATCCTACCACACCACTTACTGAGCACCACACGCAGCCTGTTTTCAGAAACCACCACAAGCTCTGGTGGCGCCCTTGCTCCTGTCATCTCCAGCCCTCTGTAATCGCCACACTCTTTAAAGGGAAAAGCGACACGTGCGGCTGTTTTCAGGGTTCACGCCTTTCAACACAGAACATCCAAATCCCGTCCCCCAACAAAGAAACCCCCAAAGCCAGCATCATCCGGGAAGGGTCCCAAAATTTGGCCCTTGCCTTATACAGGGTGATATTTGAGATGTGTGGGAAGTGCAGCGTGGCCACAAACAGATGGACATAGTCACTGTTCAGACCACCCTTGTAGATATTCTCCGCGATGATCTTGCTGACAAAATTTTTGCCAGTGCCTGTCCACCCGTGCAGGGAGAGGGTGAGAGGTTTCTTGGGCTTCGGGTTGCTGATGAAGCCAAACACAGCATTTAAGATGACTTTCTTTGCAAGATGCTGTCCAAAGAGCTTGCTGTCGAGATCCTTCTGCAGCGCTGCGAAAAAAATCAAAGCCAGTCAGGCGGGGAGTAGGGGGACACACCTGGCAAAACGTAGTCCAGTTTACAGGTTCACGTAAAGCCAGCAAAGCCCGCTAAGGTCTTCCAAGCGTTTACTGGGACGCAGACGTAGGTAGGCACTCGGCCCAGGTGACCCGTGAGTCGAGGAGGCCCGCCCTCTGCAAGTCCTGCCCACTCTTTCGGATGAGACCCCTGGCTCCAGTGCCTCAGCCAGCAGCCCGAGCCCCTCACCCCACCTGTCCCTCCCCACCCGAAGACCAGCAGAAAAAAAAGGGCAGCGTAATTCGGCCCTGCTGCTCCGCGTCGGGAGAGCCCCCACCAGCCTTCCCGTCTCCGGCGAGGAACGAGCAAAAAAAATCTCTGAAGGAAGTTTCCGATCGTCCACCCGCCCGCTTTCTGGGCGAAGGTGCAGCTGGCATCCGCAGGTCTCAGACCAAAGTCCGATCGGCCTGCAGTCGTGGCCCAGGAGCCAGGCCCTGTGCCGCACGCCGGTTCCGGGTCCGGGCCCCACCTCCAGCCACCGGCTGGGCACTGCCCGGGCTTCCGGGCCTCCTGGCCGCCCCCCGCCTCTGACCCCCTCTCCAGCTCTCGCACCAGCCCCTGGGCTATCCTACCTTCCCGGCTGAGGCTACGCTTCGGGCTGCAGCACTCGGCGAACAGGCAGTAGAGGCGCGGGTAGGAGATGTAACCGGTGAGGACGCCGGCCAGGGCCAGTCCCAGGCTGATGGGCTCCACCGCCCGCACCGCCAACGGCGCCAGCAGCAGCAGGCCCAGCGCAGCCCGCCCCAGCTTCATGCCGGGACCCGCGCCGCCCTGCGCGTTCTCGCGCCTACCGCTGACCGGCGCCGCTGCCAGACCGCGCTTCCGGTTCCTCCCGCCGGCGCCGCCTTTCTCCCAAGAGGCGGATCGCCTCCGACGCCGGCGGCCGCCATCTTTGTGAAGGGCAAAGCCCTTTCCTGCTTTGGGCTCTGGGGTAGTTGGAGGGGCCGATTTTTTTTCTCTTTTAGTAAAACTTGCTTTTGGGGAACAGTTTTACATGGGCTTCCCTGGCGGCTCAGACGGTCTGCCTGCAATGCTGGAGACCCGGGATCGATCCCTGGGTCGGGAAGATCCCCTGGAGAAGGAAATGGCAACCCACTCCAGTACTCTTGCCTGGAGAATCGCATGGACAGAGGAGCCCGGTAGGCTACTGTCCACGGGGTCGCAAAGAGTCGGACACGACTGAGCGACTTTACTGACTTACATTTCTAGAAAAGTTGAGGGGACTGTACGGAGAGGTTCCACACCCTCGCACGCAGTTTCCACTATTGTTCACACCTTACTAGTAGGTTTTGTTGTTGCTGTCGTCAGTTATGTTGCATTTGTTAAAATTAATGAGCCCATGTTGATATATCGTAACTAAAGCTTTTTATTTCCTTGTTGTTTAGTCGTTCAGTCGCTTTTTGCGACCCCATGGGCTATAGCCCAAGCCAGGCTCCTTCATCCACAGGATTTCCCAGGCAAGAATACTGGAGTGGGTTGCCATTTCCGTCTCCAGGGGATTCCCCACGGCCAGGGCTCCAACCCGTGTCTCCTGTTTTGGCAGGGGGATTCTTTACCACTGAGCCACGTAGGAAGTCCTAGTCTTTTGTAGGATTCTCAACTACTGGAATTTGATGCTCTTCTTAGATTGGAGTTATGGGTTTGGGGGAGGAATATACTTTACAGAGATGCTATTTTTATAACATCATATCATAGGTACATATAATCAACATGATTTATGACTGTTGACATTGACCTTCCTCACCTGGATAAGGTAGTGTTGGTCAGGTCTCTCCCAGGTAAGAGTTACTTCCTCTCATTCATTCATTCATAATTTTGAGAATCTCCTATGGACTAGATCCTGGGGATTGAAGAAAAAAAAAAGAGGTGCAGGTGAATCCTGGCTTCACTGACCTTGCGTTTGAGTGGAGGGGAAGAAAAGAAAATCTCTTACAGACGAGAAAACAGGCTGCAAGGCAAACGGATGTGTCCAAGGATTTAATAAAGAAGCTGTGAGCAGGACTCAGATCTGACTCCAAAGCCAAATGTCAGTGTGGTTACACAATACCTGATTTAAATCAGCCCAGGAGTCAACCAACCTGTTCTTTCCTCATCACAACCTGGGTACCTACCTCAGGAAAAGCAACAGCACAAGTGGCACCAACCTGATAGCTCAAAGTTTGGTGCCTATCCCAAATGAGAAAAACCCCTCTCAATGACTGAACTTTGCTTTTGAGTTACCCAAGCCCCAGGCGATGAACACGTGATCTGAGTCACTGCTGGTGCAAGGAGACACAAAACAAAAAAGGCTGGGTCCATTTCATGTTTAATATTTAAATGCTTAAAATGATAGAAATTACTTTTTGTTTCTTTAATGAAAAGAAACATAACTGTAAAAGTCAGAAAATACTAGTGTTCCTTTGATCGTCTAGATTTTTCTACTTTCAGCTGGATCCACTGTAAACAGTGAAGGAAGCATTTCTGAATCTCACTATAGATATTTGAAAGCAAGAGACAATGACTGCATATATTATAATAAAAGCCCAATCAAAAGGATATTATCTCACTCTGAAACACAGAGCTGTTTCCTCCTGACCCAGGGCAAATACTAAGAGAAAGTCAACATATTTACAAACAAGATTTAATAATGCTCACAAGACTAGTTTGCCCCTAAATAGGAAAACTACACATTGTTTCAAAAGGTTACAAATTCAATGCCTAAAAATCCCACAGGTAAGCAGCAGGACTGACAGAGTCTGTTTTGGGAGCCATCTGCTAGCCAATGAGCAGGCTTCTGTCCAGGAAATCTTTTATCATGGGGATAAAGGGAGTGGACAACAGTATTTATATCCCACGCTGCACCTCTCCCCATTTAGCCTCCCTCAGTACCGCCTGTTCATCTTCTTGAACTTCTCGTAATGATAATCATCCGTGGCCTTCTCATTAGCAGGACGCTTGCGGTTGGGAGGGGACCCTGAGAAGGAAAAGAGGAAAAGCTGTTTGCCATGCTGGAAGCCACTGACAGGCTTAGCTCTGCACAGGCCAGGACAACCATACCTGTGTCTCACTCTCAAGAGGTGCCCCAATGCCTACCCTAGTCAACAGGAACACAGGAAGGCCTCAGTAAGTATGTGTTACTGAGTGAAGAGCAGTAAGTATGGTGGAGTCAGGTGCCAGCTGAAATATGCTGACTTTAGTGTTAGACCACGTGAACAACAGAGTCCCTTGGACTGCAAAGAGATCAAACCAGTCAATCCTAAAGGAAATCAATCCTGAATATTCACTAGAGGGATTGATGCTGAAGCTCCAATATTTTGGCCACCTGATGTAAAGAGCTGACTCACTACAAAAGACCCTGATGTTGGGAAAGACTGAGGGCAGAAGAGGGTGACAGAGAATGAGATTTTTAGGTAACATCATTGACTCAATGGACATGAGTCTAAGCAAACTCCAGGAGATAGCAAAGGACAGGGAAGCCTGGCATTCTTCAGTCCATTGGAGTCACAAGGAGTCAGACATTACTCAGCGAATGAACAATAACAAATTCAGCGAACTCTCAACTGCATTGAGTCTGACTAGGTGTCAGGCATGGCACAAATGTTTTTAGACACGACTTCCTTTCACCTGCCCAGAAATCCCAGCAGGGGCATGTTACCATCTCTCCTCAGAGAGGTTAGCTGACTTGCTCAAGGTCACTCAGAAAGTGACAGGAAGCTAAGCGTTGAACCCAAATCTGGTGCCTCTAAAATCTCTGTTTAACAGGTATTAATAACAGGAAACTCTTTGGGAATCAAAGACTACTCGGCCAAAGTGTTACAGAAAATAATTTTTGAAGTGGGAAGGGAGAACCAGGGAAGTCTCAGCAAATGTAGCATTTCCTAAGAATTGTCCCATTGTTGATGAAAAAGATGACACTGCCTGGTGCTAAGAGCATGTGGGGAAGGGCACTGCTGGATGCGGCTGGTGGGAGAACACGTTAGCATCACGCTTCCAGAGAATCATTTCTCAAATTCTCAGAAGACAGCATTAAGGACACGACAGAGTCAAGGACGACCATCATTAAATAGGGAAACATGGGAAACAAGCTGAGTATCTCGCCAGAGGGAAACGGTTAGACTAAAGGATGTCTACCTGTCCAGCAGAGCGTGATATGCCCATTGAAATGGAAAATGTAATTTACTGTCATGAAGAAACAGGCAAAAGACACTAAAGAGCGGTGATATCCTATTGAGTATGTATACAATACATGTATTTTTTTAAAAAAGTCAGGAAGGTTACACAGTTCACCCTTGGTATCCATGGATTCAATAACCAACCCCAGGCTGTGTAATGCTGCATTTACAACTGCTGTTGGTTGGAAGCTGTGGGTACCGAGGGCTGACTGTGGAACCTGAGCTTGAGCATCCACAGATTCTGGTGTCGGCAGCAGGTCCTGGAACCAGCCCCCTGAGAATATTGAGGGTTAACAATACGTAACAATGTTGTGTATACCAGAAACTGATACGGCAGTGGAAAGCAATTACATTACAATTAAAAAATAAATAAATAAATACAGAGAACCTGCTGTACAGTTCAGAGAAAAAAAAGATCTATTGTATAGCACAGAGGACTATGCTCAATATCCTGCAATAAATCATAACAGAAAAGACTGAAAAAGAACATGCATATGCATGTGTAGCTGAATCACTTTGCTATATAGTGGAAACTAATGCAATGCTGTAAATAAACTATGATTCAATAAAATAAAATTTAAAAATAAAAAATGTTAACTGTGGCCTTCTTTGGGTGGTGAAATCACGAGTAATGTTTGTTTTTGCTTATTCAAGTTTTCTGAGTCTGTTATATTTGATAGCCCAGTGAATCCTTAGAGCAACCCCAAGTGGTACATTTTATTACCAACCCCATTTTAAAGGTGAGGAAACTGAGGCTGGGAAAGGGGATGGCACACAACTATGGTCCAGAGAAAGAACTAGACCCAGATGCCTTGGCCCCAAGGCCCAAGCGCCGCCCCTCCCCGCCTCCACGGACCCTGGGCCACGGCTGCCCCCAGCGGCCCCGAGACCCCTGCTGTACTCACGCTCAGGCTCCGGCTTCTCTGTGTCCCCCACTCGCAAGGGTCGGGCTTTGGGCTCCTCTTTGTTTCTCCGTATGGGAGCGTTGAGCTCCTCGTGGTAAACTGGACGGGAGACCGGGGGGCATGTCAGACACAGTAGGGGGACCTGGGGACCTCAGCCCAGGGGTGAGGGGTGGGGTCACCCCCCCAGAGCCATGGCGCTTACAGCGGTTGTGCTGCACGTAGTTCACCGCCATGTTGGTGGGCACGAACGAGGTCTCACTGTCTTTCTTCTTGTTCTGCTGCTCAGCCAGCAGACGGGCCTTCGCGTCCTCCGTGGAAATGATGTTTTTTATTTTCGCACTGTTGGGAGAGAGGGGCCACACCATGGTTAGCGCTTTGCAACTGTGGGCCTCAGATGGAACTGACTGCGGGCTCCAAGCACCCCCCGCTCAGCTGCATTAAGGATGTCATCCTTCTCAGGGCACACTCTCTGCAGCTCACCAGCTCCCCTGTGGCCGGAGTGTCACTGCGCTCTCACAGCATCAGAGATGCAGGACTTAAACTCTCTTCTGATCAAGGGGAAACTGTGCCAGAGGTCAGGTGAACTCCCTAAGGCTCAAAGCCAGTGAGGCCAGCAAGGAGGTGAGAACCCAGAGGTCTCCCAACTTTCTACCACACCTGAAGAAGATTCTGACCCTGTATTTGCTCCAAAGAAGTCCCCTTTTAGAGCAGATGCTTTGTAGTTAAAATAAAAGGAGGATCACGGGGTGGGTGAACCTTATCACTGCTCCTGCTGAAGAGAGCAGGAGAATACAAGGACCTATTTGAAGAACTGTGAACAAAGGCTAAATAAAAACAAACACTTTCGGAAGTTCCCCAGTGGTCCAGTTGTTAAGAATCCACCTTCCAATGCAGGGGACTTGCGTTTGATCCCTGGTTGGGAAACTAAGATTCCACATGCCATGGTATAAGCCTATGTGCCACAACTAGAGAGAAGCCAGCATGTCGCAATGAAAGATCCAGCATGCTGCAACTGAGACCTGAAGCAGCCAAATAAATAAATAAATATAAAAGAGAAAACAGAAAGTATCCCTCTACTTTATAAAACAAACCAAAAGTTTTGTTTTTGGTGGTGACAGTTCCTTGTGTCTTTAACTGCTCTGACCAACCCAGAGAAACTATGGGCAACAACCATGTCTGCAGACCAGAGAGGGTAAGTTTGTATCTGTGGGTTTCCAAGGAGACAGATTAAGAAACAGCCCCCTTAACTGTTAACTGGAAAGAAGAGAGCTGGCCCTTTTGCCTAGGGCGGGAGAGAGGCGCAACCGTGGGTCTGAAACTCACTCGATGCCGAGGTCCACCTCAGGGATGCCGCTTAGCATCTGGTTGGACAGCATCTCCTCCGTCTTCTTTGCCGAGGAAACCCGGATGTTTTCCGGCAGCTCATAAAGGCAATCCTCTGCATTCTTTGGCTTGACTTTCTGTTCCTCATGTTCCACGATCCCTTTCCGCTTCTTCAGCTCTGTCTCAATGTACTTCATCCTGAAACAAGATACCCGCAGGCCTCAGGGAGGGGCAGAACAGCTCCAACCCTGGCCCAAAGCCATGATGAGTGATGTTGAAGTTGTCATCATTCCATGGAGAAGTGAGAAAAACAAAAATAACTTTTGAGTTTTTAAATCAAGCTACAATCTTTCCATTTAAAGCACCAATCTATATAATGAGATCCTGTCTCACCACATCGTATCTAAGTTTCTTTGATGGCAGATTTTATTTAACAGCCTTGGTGGCAAAATGAAAAACGGGCAAGTCCAATGTTTCTCCCTGCAATTTTTTTTTAGGGGGTGGGATGGGAATACTACTAGCCAAGGAATCTAAAAATTCTAAGAACCACGTTCTTAAAGAATTCTTGAGGATTTCAAAGTTCTCAAGCCTGAGGTGGTAGGGTAAGGGGGACCAGGGACACAAGAGGGATCAAATTTGCTGTTTTTGGATAAGATTAGAAATGTCATCTGTGACTAAATGTCTTAGACACTATCTGGCTGGAGCCCACCCCCAATCGCTCACTGCTAAAAAGACTGACACCTACATGTCGGCATCCTCGTCCCTTCGGTTGGTTTCTGCGGAAAATGATGTCCCCAGATGGAGGTCTTCCTCTTCGCTGATCCTACAAAAAAAGAGAACAGTGAAGGAGAGCCTTAGAGTCACAGATAAATGAGGCTGAATAGGATACTACATGAATAAAACAAGTATGCAATGAAATGTACAACATCCTGTCCATGGTCATGGTTGGAAAACAATAAGATACATATATAACATGTAAACAGAAGGAACTCCAGGAATATACGCAAGCATGCTGACGGCTTCTGGAGATACTTCAGGGGGAATGAGTATATATATTTATTTTTCACTTTTGCATTGCTTGTATTATTTTGGTAATTGTGTTTCTGTTTTTCCTGAAAAAGAAAAATAACTTCCACATGGGTTTGAAAGACAATATACAATGCACCTTTACAAGAGGTGCCTCCTACATCACGCTAAGCTCACTTTTGAAGAGTTTTTGTTTCCTTTTGCTTTTAAACAACATACTCTTTACAGAGCACAAAGGGTACTTCAAGTCGTATAAAAGCTGCAGCACGTCCCAGCTCCGTGGGGGAACACAAACCCAGGCAAGCGATGCAGGTGAGTTTAATTCTGAGCCTGTTTTGTACATACTTATCTTTGCCCCTTTCCTTTAGTTTCTTCATGTCCACCATCCCGCCTGTCTTCATCTGAAAGGGATCATCCTGCAGAAAGCAAACAGCGGAGAAGAAGCATCTGTGTAACTCGCAGTGGAATGTTTGAAAGAAAACTCAATCACCCACTGAAGAGCAGTCACATCTTCCCAGGGCCCAGGGAGGGTCCCACAACTCACCACTAGAGTGGTCTCTTCTTGTACCTTCTCTCCCACCAGCAGGGCAACAGCACTGAGAATAACCAAAAAGCAGAGGAGAGAGAGAGAGATGGCATAGATCAGAGATGAGGAGGAACATTCTGGAAGTCTGCAACATTAGTGCAGGGTTGAGATTTGAGGATTGGACACCAAAGCCAGATGGAAAAGCCTACAAGAACAACAGGGATCAAGAGACACTGCAGGGACCTCCCCTGTGGTCCAGTGGCTAAGACTCCTCACTCTCAATGCAGGGGCCCTGCTCGGGGAATTAGCCCACATGCAGCAGCTAAGAGTCTGCATGCTTAAATGAAGACTGAAGATCCCATGTGCCACAACTAAGACCTGGTGCAGCCAAAATAAATTTTATTAAAAAATAAAAGAGAGCAAGAGGGACACTCTAGATGTGAGGTGGGGGCAGTGTTCACCTAAGTGGTACACTTTCCTACAAAGTCATTTGGGATTATCTTAGCTTAGAAACCTCATTTCTAAGATTTTGCCTTCACGGAAAATGAGGCTAAAGACAAGTGTAGGAAAATACTACTGCAGTCTTATTTGGTGGTGAAATTTTGTACAATGACCTACAGATCCCAAAATAGAGGGGATAAGTTAAATTATAGTATGTATATCTGGTGGAATATTATGAAGCTATTAAAAAGGTTTTTTGGGGAAAAGATTACCCACAATGTGGATGAATACCCACAATATCATGAGTTGAAAATACGGTAGTCCTCCCCCTTAGCTGTGGTTTCACTTTTCACAGTGTCAGTTATCTATAGTCCAAAAATATTAAATATAAAATTCCAGAAATAAAAAATTCATAAGTTTTAAATTATCTATCAGCTATTATGAACAGTGTGATGAATCTCTGCCCTCTTGCCTGGTCCAACAGAGAAGGTGAACCACCCTTTTGGCCTGAGGGTCCACACTGTATACACAACCCACCCATTAGTGTGGGAAAAAATAGTCTGCATAAGATTTGATACTATTCAAGCTTCAGGCATCCACTGGGGGTCTTGGAACATAGCCCCTGTGGATAAGAGAGGACTCCTGAAGCATAGAAAAAAATAAGGCTGCTCACAGTCTTTACAAAAGACAGAGAAAAAAGACAGGGAAGAACATTAAATGTCAACACTGGTCACCTCTTTATGGGAGAATTATAGGTACTGTTTATTTTCTTGATTATACCTTTCTAAATTTTCCCACTCTTAACAATCAGTGTGCATTTCACAATTAATTTAAGTGTAATAAAAACACTAGTCTGGAATTCCCCGGTGGTCCAGTAGTTAAGAATCCACCTGCCAATGCAGGGTACATGGATTTGATCCCTGGCAGGGGAAGATTCGGCAAGCTGAGGGGCAACTAAGCTTGTGAGTCACAACTACAGAGCCCGCGTGCCGCAAGTCCTGAAGTCTGGGCACCCGAGGGCCAGTCTTTTGAAACAAGAGAAGCCACTACAACGAGAAGCCCAAGCATCACAACTAGAGAAAGCCCTTGCATAGAAACGAAGACCCAGTGCAATCAACAGTTCAGCTCAGTCGTGTCCAACTCTTTGCAAACCCATGGACTGCAGGACACCAGGCTTCCCTGTCTGTCACCAACTCCCGGAGCCTACTCAAACTCATGTCCGTCTTGTCGGTGATGCCATCCAAACATCTCATCCTCTGTCATCTCCTTCTCCTCCTGCCTTCAATCCTTCCCAGTATCAGGGTCTTTTCCAGTGAGTCGGTTCTTCATATCAGGTGGCCCAAGTATTAGAGTTAAAACAAAAACAATCCAAAAACACTAGCAACGACCTGTAGCTCTGGAAGAAGTGAAACTTGCTCAGTCGTGTCCGAGTCTTTGCGACTCCATGGACTATACAGTCCATGGAATTCTGCAGGCCAGAATACTGGAGTGGGTAGCCTTTCCCTTCTCCAGGGGAATCTTCCCAACCCAGGAATCGAATCTAAGCCACCCGCATTGCAGGCGGATTCTTTACCAGCTGAGCCACGAGGGAAGCCCAAGAATACTGGAGTGGGTAGCCTATCCCTTCTCCAGCAGACCTTCCAGACCCAAGAATCGAACCGGCGTCTCCTGCATTGCAGGCAGATTCTTTACCAACTGAGCTATCAGGCAAGCCCATGGTAGCGCTGGAGCAAACTTCAGGACCACAAGGCTCAGGGCATGTCCTGGTTGAACATTTGCAAAAAACACAAAAAAACAAAATGCTTGAGTCCCTCTCCAGGCAGTACAAAGTGTAGTGTGTCAAGAAAAGGGGCTGTCTATGTCTGAGAATATATTTGTGACAACGACCCGGGTAGGGGAAGAGGAGTTGGGGGACGTGGTGTCTCTGTCATCCCCTCCTGTTCTGGGTCCTCCACTCCCAAGCAGTACCCACCTCACCCCGTTGGGCCTCTTCCTCAAGTTCTGCACCTCTCGGGTCTCTTCCAGTTTTAATCTTATAAGAGAGAGGGAGAGAGAGAGAAAAGGCAACGCACAGGTTACCGAACTCAAAGAGTTAAAAGGCAGCTTCGACGGACACCAATGACCGGCCGTCGAGCCGCCCGCAAGTGTCCAGAGAGTAGAGTGACTGCGTCTTGACCCACCAGGAGTCAGATCTACTTCGCATCCCAGAGGCATCCCTCCCAACCATGAGACCTTGGGGCGGCGGTCTCATCCGTAGGAGCCTCATTTTCTTCGTTCGCAGAGGGGTAACGACACCGCTCACAGCAATGATGTCAAAGAGGTACCCGGCTGGTCGTGAGCTCCCCTAGGTTGCTTCTTTCTTCCTGCCCCGTAGGATCCCGCCCCAAACGCACCGAACCTCCTCTGAGTCCTGCTCATCTTCCTCCGACTCCGAGTCGGCGCGGCGCCGGCGGAAAGTCTTCCCGGTGACCGGCATAGTCGCACCGGCCCCGCGGTCTAGAGCCGCCGAGCCCCAGCGCCGAGATCTGGGCTACTTCCGGCGCGCGGCTGTGAGGTCTGAGCGCCGGCCCGGCAGGGCCCCGCCCCTAACTCAGGCCCCGCCCCCGGCCCACACGCCCATCTGACCACGCCCCCGTCCGTGGTGTCGGCCTCCCCCGATTGGGCAACCCAAGGGGGAGGAGGCGGGGCGCGGCTGGCCGGGCCTCGGGACCCTGCGCCCGTGGCTCGGAGGGCGCGCTTGACTGACAGTCGGCGGTGGCGGCGCGGTTGCGACTGCAGGTGAGTTCCGGACCGTCGCCGGCTGCTTCAGGGGGCCGGGTCTCTCCGAGCAGGGGCGACTCCAGGCAGGCGGGGACCTGGCCCTGCCTGGTGCGCAGAACGCCGCGGCCAGGTGAGCGGAGCCCGGGACCCCCCTCGGCCGCCACCGCCCTGACCCCTCCTCCGGCCGGCGCCCAGGGTATCTTCTCGGGCCGCGGGCGCCCCACTTCGAGCCCCTAGGGCTCACTGATTCTTCGGAACAGGGGGCGCCATCTCTTTCATTTCTGCCTGGGCCTGACCCAGCGTTGAAAGCACGCTTGTGGCGTCTCGGACCGCTGACTTCTTTCCTCCGGGTCTGGGCCCTGACGTGCACTTTTTTTTTTCCTGTAGGGACAAAAGATGACCACTTCTTAGCCGTGATGAATTAAAGCCCCAGCCCCGACTCCCCCGCTAACGATCGCTTCCAGCCACTTCTCCCGGAGGAGAATCGTGTCTGGTGTTTTGAACCCACTCGGGAGGGTTTGAGGGGAGAGTGTGCTTGCTGGCCGCTTCCCGGGACCTTCGTGGGCCTTGTTTTCATCCTTTGTCACGAGGACTGTCGCTCTGGCCTCCGCCCCTTCTAACCGAGGATGCTTTGAGGATTAAGTTTATTTGAAAAACAGGAATCAACCGATGCTTAGGATATAACTAAATGCATAACTAATGGCTTGCGGGACATCTAGGAAGCCCTTATTAGTTTTCCTTTTTTCAATATGCTGTCTGTCCTTTCCTTAGCAAGAGCCACCTCTTATTGAGCGCTTAACGTGGCAGGCACTGGACTCAGCTTTATTTCATTAAATTCATCCAACAATCCTAGGAAGTAGAGTCAGTTATTGTTTCTCATTTTGCCAAGGAAGACACTAGGGCTCAGAGAGGCAGTATGTACCTCAGGGAACACAGCTGGAAGGGGGAGCAGAAATCAGTTACAGGCCTCCCTCGCTGCACCTTGCCACAGTACCTGGCACAGTAAGAGTTGGTTTTCTGCAGGTTCCCTCCTCGGGAAGACCATCCGGAAGTAGGGCAGCCTTTCTGGAATGCCTTACTGTTCTCCGGAACAGTCTCCTCTGAGGTTGCCGTCCTCTTCCGTCTGCTGAGACAGATAGTAGACTCGGGACTTGTTGGAACAGACTTGTGGCTTTGATGAAAAGCCATAGTTTAAAAGTGCGCAGGTCTAGCCCTCTGCAGTCTGGTTCAGCCAAAGCCAGATGCACATAGGAGTCACTGGGCCCCTTTTCCGTGATGGCTGAAGGAGAGGCTCCTTGGGAACTGCCGCAGGAACCCAGGGAGTGGACGTCTGCAGCTCTCACGCTCTCAGAGTTGGCTCCAATTTTGCCCATCCAGGAGCCCTCCCACCAGTGGGTACTGGACAGCACTGAGGAGAGGGCTGCAAGGCCAAGGACATATGTGCTGATATCCCAGGGAGGACCATCTGGTACAGATGTACTGTCCCTGCTGGGCAAGACCAGCGTGCCCACTGATAACCTCGGTCTGACTGAGTCGAGTTCAGCAGAAGTGATACTGCAGAAGGGGCAGTGGTGAATCTGGCAGCCTGTGGCTGGGCTGAGGGGCTGCAGATCCTCTGCGCTTTGCTGGGCCTTTTAGGGGGTGGGTTGAAACTGCTTGGAGGGAGCCTGTGGGAAATCTGAGTTTTCTTCAGTTCAGAGAAATGCCGTGTTTTTAGTTTGGTTTGAAGGTTTGGTTCTTGAAGAAAATGTCCAGGTTTGGCTTGAGTTTGGTTTCATGCACTGGCTCCTGGAACCAGGTGAAATGTGAGCTTGTCTCGGTGAGCATTAGTTAATGTCTAGGTCGATTTGGGAATCCAGCAAAATGATTGCAGCTCACAGCCTGGCCATCGTAAGCATTCATTGAGTGTTTGTGGGACAGACTTACTTATTCAGCAAATATTTACTGCGCTTTCAGTATACGGAACAGGCACTGCTTTGGGTGCTTGAAATACATCAGGGAGCAAAAGAGACTAAAGACCCCCTGAACTCGTGGACTTTATGTTCAGATAACCTGATAACTATGTAAAGATATTAGAAGGATGCTATGGGGGGAAAAAAAAGTAGAGCAAGGGGAGGAAATCAGGATCGAGAGAGAGAATTGACTTGCATTTTTTAATTGGTGTTCTGGTTTGTGTTTTGGTCAGTAACACGACAAAGCAGTGGACTGAATTGTAGGCCCTGGGTTCAAGAACCAGTTCTGCCAGCTTGCTGTGTGAGCCTGGACAGGAGCCTTTCCTTCTCTGAGCCAGTTTCCCCACCAGACCCCCTGCTCTGCCATTCGCTGGTTGTGTGACTTCAGCATGAAGCTCTCTCATCCTCTCCTGCTTGCTGGTTTTCCGGGCCCTGGTCTGAGTTTCTGCTTTTACTTACTCCAGGCATGCAGCTTCTCAGCGACCTTGCCCAGTCACTGCCTCTAGCCTGTCTGCCCCCAGGGACTGCCAGCATGGAGCAGCCGTAACCCCAATTAACAGACTCTTACAGACCCTCGGACAAAGTGCAGTCCCAGGCTTCAGGCTATGCAAGGATGTTATCCTAAACTTAAGGAACTGAAGTTGAGCAGAAAAAAGTGCTGTGTGAAGAATGACTTGTGCTTGTGAGGAAGGCCAGGGGAAGCCACCCTTGGAGTGTGGGCATTTGGGTCCGAGGAGGTGAAGGTCATCATCCCTGCTGCAGGCTGTTCGGCAGCTGGTAGAGCTGATAGTTCAGAGCACTGATTTCGGGGCAGGCTGTCCTGGGCTTGAATCCTGGCTCAGCTGCTTGGTAGCTGTGTGACCCGCAGCCAGTTCCTTCCCCTCTCTGAGCCTCAGCCTTCCCTTTTAGTGACGGAGGCGAGATGGATTTCACTCTCAATGTTGCCTGACGGGTTCTGAGGATTTCATGAGGTCTGTTAGCATCCGTTTTCCAGTTCACAGGTCCATCCTGAATGGGGGCAAGCAGAACTTGGCAAGGAAGAAGTTCCTGCCTTGAGAGTTGAAAGGACGGTGGACCCTGCGAATTAAGACTGCTTAAAGAGAGGAATTTGGGGGCAAGGGGGTGGCTTGGAAGTAGAGTGGGGAGAAGGCAGGAGGGGAAGGGCAAGAGGACATGTTTTGTGGGGTAGAGGGGAGTGTGGAAGGGTGTGGGCACAGGTGTGTGGGGTGGCCAGTGTGGTGAGGATCAGGGCAGGGGGGTGTCCTTGTGTTGGTGGCAGACTTGGCAGCATCGCCTTTAAATCCTGAGGAGCTGGGCTCTCAGCTGGCAGGAGGATGTAGCCAGAACCTCCAGGAAGTTGATGAGTAATGGGCCCCTGAGGCCTGGTCTCAGCGGTGGTGCCAGGCCCAGATGTGCTGCCTTACTGCCTGCGCCCCTGTGCGGGGCTGAAGTGGGAGTGACTTTCCCCATCACTCCACGAAGGCCCCGGGGAGGGGGGGACTCGCCCGCCCTTGTCCAGGATGAAGAAGCCTCTTAGATGTCTCATCCGGGGCCTGCAGTGGGCAGGCTCTCTGCCAGACCTGCCAGCCTGCCTCCTCTCCTCCTGCTTTCTCATCTCTGAGAGAGGAGGTGGGTCTGGTGGGTCAGAGGGAGAGGTGCCCCAGGTGTCTGTAGCGGAGGCGCAGCCCCTTGGCTGGCATCTCGTATACCAGCTCTGGGGAGGTGACTCTTAACAGCACTATGGAGCTGCTGCTCTCAAGAGGGCCCATGCCCAAATCCAGGCCTCCCCACTGTGGAGGTTTCTTTCCTTTTCAGTCTTTATTAAACACCTGCTGTGTCCTTTCCATTTATTTTGCGCAGAGGGAAGGATGGGAAGGCGGACCCCCACCTGGCTCACTTCCCGCTGTCCCACTCCCTTGCTCTGTGGTCTTGGGCAAGTGCCTTCCATTCTCCGAGCCTCTGTTCTTCCTCCATAAAATAAGAAACAGCAGTCCTCACCCGAGAGTGTGCAGTGAAGTGCTGTGCATCATGCCTGGCTCAGAGTAAGCACTCGGTCATGGAGCTCCTGTTGTTGAGCTGTTGTTGTTCAGTCGCTCAGGCATGTCCGGCTCTTTGCGACCCATGGACTGCAGCACGCCAGGCCTTCCTGTCCATCACCAACTCCCGGAGCTTGCTCAAGCTCATGTCCGTTGACATGAGTTAAGGTTACCGTTTCCAAAAGACCCTTCCCTGCTCCCACCTAAGTGAGGTAAAGGGAATCTTTAAAAAGTTTCTATTTTGATCATGTAAGTGCCTGTTCAGAGTTTCAAAATTTTAAAATGCCAAATATTTTCATGCTCACTTGCATGTGGTAATCTGGAAAATCTTCAAAGAAAAATTGAAAGCCAGTTGTATTTAACCAGCCTCAAATTGTGCAACCATGATGTGCAATAAAGAATTTGAAACAGAAAAAAAAGTTTCTATTTTGAAAAGAATCAAACCCAAACAAGTAAAAAGAGTCATAAAATGAAATCCCATCTACCTTTCATCTGTATCCACCAATTATTAATATTTTTGCCCGTTTACTCTCTGTATTTATACATTCATCATCATCAGAATTATTCTTGCCAATCCGTTTTAAGAGTAAGTTGCAGATATCATGACCCTTTGCCCCGCAATATTTAGGAGGAATTATCTAAGAACAAGGATACATAACCAGAAAATGGTTTTCATCTTGAGAAACTTTTTTTTTTTTTTTACTACATCAGGGCTTAGTTGCAGAGCT